AACTATCCATCTTAATGATTCTGAAGCAGGTAGATACAAAATAAACTGTTATAACTGCCCCTTGCAATACATTGGGAAAACTTGCAGAAATTTTTTTTTTTTAAAAAAGCGTATCTATGAAGAAAAAATGGATCTTATACACAACAATTTATCAAATGCATCAGTTATACACACAAATAAATTCAACCCCAACTTTGATCTAAAGAATGCCACACTTATTAAAAATAGAGTAACTTACTTAGACGGAAAATTCTCGAGAGTGACGTTATCGAATCTTGTCAAAATATAAAACTGCTCCCAGGAGTTTTTTTCAAATATCTCCTTTCCTGAATCAACATACATGATTATGTTTTGTTTTTTTAATTAGAAAATACGGTTAAATTCACAACCTTCTATCATTTAAAATATATAATACACAAATTAATCCTAAACTAAAATAATATGAATAATAATTACATAAAAATAATAGTTAAAAGTCATTTTTTGTTTATTAGACATTAAATTATATCACTTAACATCTTCCATAATTTACTTTGATATTTCAGTTACCTTGATGTATATTTATGAGCGTTCTTAGATTTTAAGATCCGGAAAAGTTAACGACACTTTTACTACTGTTTAAAAATACTTGTTTAAAAGTAAAATCCTTGCATTTTGCGTTGATGAAGTCCAACAGAGGACAAAATGAGTCGGCTAAGATAGGTTTTCCTTTTCTCTTTTTTCATTATTCCATACCTGTAAAATCCGTGAATGCAATATACCAGCTTTGTCGAGAGGTAACAGAAAGAGTCATCCAATCACGTCCCACACACGTTCAATGGATGACAGGTATGGTGATCCTACTGGCCAGGTAAGTTGTCGAGTAGTGTGGACATCGTGAGGGCAGGTGGAGCAGCACATCGCCTTTCCTTGTCAGGAATGGAAACAGCACGGGTTAAACAATGTTCAGGACGTTACTCATTGTCTGCATGGTCAAACCTTTGCTACCCCACACAATTATTCTAAGGGTTGGACCTTTACGAATTCACAGTGGAAGATCTCGCTGTCCATGCCTGCGACGAACGCAAAACTGAATATCGTTTGCATTAACTCTTTAAGCCCTGACAACCGCTCTACCGGTGGTAGAGAAAAATGACGTAATGCCCAGCCACCGGTTGAACGGTGGTAGAGACAAATGACGTAATGCCCAGCCACCGGTTGAACGATGGTAGAGAAAAATGACGTAATGCACAACGACCGGTTGAACGGTGGTAGAGACAAATGACGTAATGCCCAGCCACCGGTTGAACGGTGGTACAGGAAAATGACGTAATGCCCAACTACCGGTTGAACGGTGGTAGGGAAAAATGACGTAATGCCCAGCCACCAGTTGAACGGTGGTAGAGAAAAATGACGTAATGCCCAGCCACCGGTTGAACGGTGGTAGAGACAAATGACGTAATGCCCAGCCACCGATTGAACGGTGGTAGAGAAAAATGACGTAATGCCCAACTACCGGTTGAACAGTGGTAGAGACAAATGACGTAATGTCCAGCCACCGGTTGAACGGTGGTAGAGAAAAATGACGTAATGCCCAACTACCGGTTGAACGGTGGTAGAGAAAAATGACGTAATGCCCAACTACCGGTTGAACGGTGGTAGAGACAAATGACGTAATGCCCAACTACCGGTTGAACGGTGGTAGAGAAAAATAACGTAATGCCCAACTACCGGTTGAACGGTGGTAGAGAAAAATGACGTAATGCCCTACTACCGGTTGAACGGTTGGTAAATACTTGAAACTTTTTATATCTACCGTACTCCTCTCGCAACATTTCAGTAGACATTGCCGCCACCCAGACTTGCGTTTGACACGCAAGTGGCTACCGTTTGAAGAATCTGGTCTCATCTCAGAAAACTATAAAGAGCATCATCCGATTCCTGAGGTGACACAGACGTCCCTGATGGTGTTACGGCTTTAATGGAAGACTGGCCGGAGGCAGGCGTCGATCTAGTCCTACCGCAAATAAACGAATATTAAGGGTATGTGTTAAGATACCTGGGGTAAGACAAAAAGAAAGAAAGATAGAAAGAAAACGAAGATTATCGCAAGAAAGAAAAATGAAAAAGAAAGATTAAAGAAGAAAGAAACTAAACAAAGATTAAGGAAAGAAAAAAAGAAAAATAAGAAAAAGCACGTTTAAAGAAGAAAGATTATAGAATGAAAGAAAAAACAGAAATGAAAGAAAGAAAGAAGAGAAACGGCGTTTAAAGAAAGGGAGAAAGATTATGGAAACAAAGAAAGGCATAAAGAAAGAAACAGAAAAATACAGATGAATGAAAGAAAGAGAGAGGGAAAAGAAACGGCGTTTAAAGAAAGAAAGAAAGAAAGAAAGAAAGAAAGAAAGAAAGAAAGATAGGATAGAAAGGGCGTTTAAAGAAAGAAAGAAAGAAAGAAAGAAAGAAAGAAAGAAATAAATAAAGAAAGAAAGAACAGAAAAATATAAATGAATGAAAGAAAGAGAGAGAAAAGGAACGGAGTTTAAAGAAAGAAAGAAAGATTATAGAAATAAAGAAAGAAAAGAAACATTGAAATGAGAGAAAGAGAGAAGAGAAACTGCATTTAAAGAAAGATTATAGAAAGAAAGAAAGGAAGAAAGAAAGAAAGAAAGAAAGAAAGAAAGAAAGAAGAGAAACGGCGTTTAAAGAAAGAAAGAAAGAAAGTAAAACTGAGATGAAAGAAAGAAAGGAAGAAGAGAAACGGCGTTTAAAGAAAGAAACAAAGAAACAAAGAAACAAAGAAGAAATACGGCGTTTAAAGAAAGAAAGAAAGAAAGAATGAAAGAAAGAAAGAAAGAAAGAATGAAAGAAAGAATGAAAGAAAGAAAAAGTGTGCTGAAAGAAAGAAAGAAACAAACAAAGAATTGGGTTTGGTAGGTCAAACATTTGTAACTGGACTGGAAAGATATATGACTCGGTGAGAGCTATTTGTTATAAAATGGCCTGGTCTAATGCCAATGAAAACCATGATGACCACTTCTCCGAGGTTAAACAGACGAAGCAACAGAGATAGGCGAGAGAGTTTGTCAATAACCACTGACCGTTAGTGGTCAGAGGTGTGGACATATATGTCGAAGGGCAGCCATCAACACCTTGTAGGCTTCGAATGGCTTTTAACTCAGTGGAGACGAATTGAGAAACACGACAAAATAATAAGAGAAAGACGAGTAAAGATGGATTACATCATTCAGAAAGTGTAAATTGTATATAATGATTTAAATTTCATATTGTATATAACGAAAATTATCCCGAAAAAATGTGCCATACGTGATACACGCTTAGATGATCATGTAGCTTTCGATACATGACTGACGAGGCAGATTTTTCCCGCAGTAGTTTGCCATTTCTTTCTGCAGTAGTCCAGTTGTCATCCAAGGTTAAAGAATCTGGTCTGTACTGCTATTTACCCATAACTAGAGGGGAGAAGAAGAGGATTCATACCTTTCCCAAGGATATTAGCACGTAATTAGAATGTAATGGATTCGGCTGGAACTCGAACCTAACCCTAGTTGCTATCCAATATTCAACCGTGCCTCTTGATTGCTTAATTAATAATAAAAATGAAAAAGAAAATATTATTTTTTTTATTAGTTTCGCCACAAGATGCTCAGTCAGTTATGTGTCATGCGTGATACACGCTTAGGCGATCCTTTATCATTTGATACATGACTGACTAGACAGATTTTTTCTCGCGGTAGCTTGCCATTACTTTCTGTGGTAGACTAGTTGCCATCCAAGGCTATAGAACCCGGTCTGTCCTCCTATTTACATAGCTGGAGGAAGGATGTAGAGGATTCATACCTTTCCCAAGGGTATTATCACGTAAGTGAATGTAATGGATTCGAATTGAATTCGAACTCGGCTCTCCGATTCCTCAATCTGAGCCGCTATAATAAATTAAAATTCGGTTACTACAACAACAGTTATGAATAATTTTATTATCAATATTTAAAACTAATCCTTTTCTTATCGCAATTTCTTTTCAAATGACAAGTTAATACCAATGACCTCGGGCAGGCGAAGATGTTTTTTTTATGTTGTTGTTGCTGTTTCGACTTATTTAAACAAAAGTCTTTTGTTTCACATTTCCCTAAAACCTTTCTCGTCGCTCACATGTTCAACCCACGGTCATCACAGCATACTTCTGAAGAAGGTCTTCTCTTTATCAATGAGTAAATTGTCCAATCTATGCTACCATACACCGATACTACAGAGAAGTTCAGCACTTTTTTCTTTGTGTCTAATGAAAATTTCCCAGCTTCCTGCTTCCTGTCCACTACGATCTCCCAAAATTTTAAATGCAGCTTCAATCGTCATTTTTTGTCTCTCTCTGAATTTCGATCATATCCTGTTCTCTCCCTTTCACTCTCAGTAAGCCCTTGGTCCTTGTGGCTTTATTGCCTTGCTATGAGTGAAATGATTACAAAAATAACTCAATGATAAATGTCTTTCTTTCCATCACTTAACAGGAACCCATTTTCCGACAAGCTTATTTTCCCAAATACTTCTAAATTAAATTCTACAGTTGAACTCCAAACAATCAAGAAGTCCCCAATACAGCTATACCTCACCCTACGTCGTTAATTGGTTCCAGAGGTCACGACTTAGTTCGAGAAACGACTTTAGTCGAAATAATCACACTATAAACCGCAAATAACCCCCCCATTGCCTATTACAGTATTTATGATATGTACATACAGTATTCTGAATAAAATAATTAGTTTCAATCTTATCTTCCATAGCATTACGCTTAGCATTAGCACTAGCACTGGGAATTTTCTTCGGAGCCATGGACAAAAATGTATTCTAAATTACAATTGAAATGTAATTGAAAGACCGTCAGCGGCAGAGCACAGATGTAAACAAGTCTGAATTCAAAGTCGGTGTTGGAGCGGAAAACGACCAAAGAGTGCCGTCTGTCGGCAGGAATTTGAAATAACTTCAGCTGAACAAGCTTTATTATGCTATTTTTCGTTTTTGATTATATATATATATATATATATATATACTTTCTTCTTTACTTTCTTCTTCTATCTTTCTTCTTCTTTCTTCTTCTTTACTTCCTTTTTTACTTTCCTCTTCTTTCTTTCTTTTACTTCCTTTTTCTTCTTTACTTTCTTCTTCCTTATTTCTTCTTTTTTACTTCCTTCTTTTCTTCTTCCTACTTTCTTCTTCTTTTCTTTCTTCTTCTTACTTTCTCCTCCTCTACTTTTTCTTTTTTCTTCTTTATTTTCTTCTTCTTTCTTTCGTCTTCTTTTTCTTCTTTATTTCCTTTTTTTCTTTCATTCTTCTTCTTTACTCCTTGTCGATCATTATTTTCTTCTACAGTGTCATCTTTGCTATCTGCTTCAACATTTCTTTGCGTCTTCATCTTCATCCTTCTTCTTTTTTTCTTTCTTCTTCTTTATTGTTATTGTTATTCGTAATTTCTGGACTTGTGATTATGTAATGTTATTTTTCGACGTTTTATATTTTCTGTTTTCAACAATTATTTCATATTCATTTTTTTATTTCTCTTTTCTTACGTCATTCGCCGATGATCTTTTTTTCTGCATTCCATTGCTTTGTTTTTCCATCTGTATTTTTTACTTATATCGACTTTTTTTCCTTCTCTACTACTTTTATTTCATTCCCACCTGCTTTCATACCTTTCACTTTTTATTATTCCAACAGTAAACGCATCCCCCTTCTCTTCTCATATCGAAATTCTTCTTCTTCTTCTTCTTCTTCTTCTTATTATTATTATTATTATTCCCTCCACCTATTTTCAATTATTAGCCCTTCTCCATTCCACCTGCCCTTCTTCTTGCTCTTCTTCTTTTTCTTCTTTCCCTTCTTCTTCTTCTTCTTCTTCCTCCTCCTCCTCCTTCTTCTTCTTCACCTTAATCATCATCTATTTCCCCAATTGCTGCTGCCCCTCCTCCCCCTCTTCTTTTTTGTTTCTTTTTCCACTTCTTCCTTTTTTTCTTATTCTTCTTCCACCTCATTCCACTTCTCTTCCTTTTGCTCCTCTTATGTTTTCTTGGTTTTCCTCCTCTTACGCCTCCTCTTCCTCCTGCTCTTCTTCTTCTTGCTTCTCTACATCCCCATCATCATCTTCTTATCCAGATCCTCCTCCCCTTCTATTTTTCTTCGTTTTCTTCCTTCTATTCCTGCACCTACTATTCTTCTTTTTCCACCTCTCCCTCTTCCACCTTCTTCTTCTTTTCTTCTTCAGTCCTCCTCCTCTTTACCTTCTTCCTCCTACTCCTGCTGTTCTTTTTTTTCATCGTCTTTTTCTTTTTCTTTTTCCATCTTCTCCTCATTTCTTCTTCTTCTTCTTCTTCTTCTTCTTCTTCTTCTTCTTCTTCTTACCCTTGCGACTTTTCTCTTGCACATTCCACTACTTGCTCACATTTTCCCACCTTTTTCTGGTTTACCAAATTTTCTTCTTTCCCATAAATCTTTTGTCCATCTTCGAAATCTTTCTCACTTTCTTCAATCTCCTCTCTACCACCTTACCTTAATCCTTCCACCTATTTTTCGCGCCATTGCGTCACTGCCATTACCTTCCAGGAAGTTGTCATTGGAAGAAGAGGAGGAGAAAGATGAGATGAACAGAGCAATAGTGGCCGTTACGATCTTGAAGAGGTCAAGTGTTAACGACAAGAAAGAGACACAGTGACCAGTACAGCTGTCCGTTTTGGACTGGCATCTTAAGCGGTCAGCCTGCCAACTGTCCAAAATCGCTGCCGGCCATTCCAACTCAGTAACCCCGTTCTGCCAATTCCCCCTTCTCTGTCCATACCTCTCCTCTGTCCATTCATCTCCGGTCTCCTATGACAGATCAGTGAGCAGTGCCCCTAGCCGAGGAAACTGACCGCCTAACCTACTGCTGTGGTCAACAACAACAACTTCCGCCGGCTTTCCTCGACCCAAAATCACATTTGTTCTTTTTTTCTCTCTTTCATCGCTATTTACAACGCCCACGCAGCTTAACCTGGTATATTATTGGGTTGAGACTACCTCCGGATCACCTCAGTTCGCCGCAAAGATAATGGTCAAGATCACTTCCACTCTGATCGCTAATGCCGCCATTATATTCCCTACGCCCCACCGTCACTAAATCGTTTTGACCAAGTGTGCTGCTTACTGCTCTGGGCTATCAACGGTCAGACTGGACACCAATTATCTAATCGTCTTCCTTCTTCTTCTGCTTCGTCTTCTTCATCTTGGTATTATTCTTACTTTGCCAGTCTTCCACCATTTTTAGCGGGGTTTCTTCTTGATTTGTTCTTCATTTTAATCCTCATTCTTCTCCTGGATTCATTTATTTATTTATTTATTCTTCTTCTTCTTCTTCTTCTTCTTCTTCTCCTTCTTCTTCTTCTCCTTCTTCTTCTTCTTCTTCTTCTTCTTCTTCTTCTCAACCCTTTTCTTTCCCTTCTGCCTTTGACTTACCCTGTTCTTCAAGATTTTCCTCGTTCTCCACCGGTATTTCTTTTCTTCTTTGTTAAGATAATCCTCATTCTCCTTTGTATGTCTCTATTCTTTCTTTCTTTCTTTCTTTCTTTCTTTCTTACAATGGGTTACTTTGTTTTTTCAAGATAATCCTCATTTTTCACCGGAATTTCTTTTCTTTCTTTCTTTTTTTTTCTTTCTTCCTTTCTTTCTTTCTTTCTTTCTTTTACATCGTCGAGGTTTTTTATTTTTACTTTGCTACTCCTCCAACTATTTTTGTGAGTTTCTTCTTAATATATTCTTCATGATAATGATCATTCTTCTCCAGGATTTCTTCTTCTTCTTCTTCTTCTTCTTTGTCATCATCACTATCTATTTCTTCAATAGTCATCATTCTCTTCAGGGTCTCTTTCCGTCTTTCTTCTTCTTCCAATGGGTTACTTTGTTTTTCAAGATAATCCTTATTCTTCACCGGAATTTCTTTCTTTTCTCTTTCTTTCTTCTTCATCGTTTTGGCTTTATTTTCTATTTTGCTACTCTTGCACTTTTCTCTAGTGGGTTTCTTCTTAATTTCTTCTTCATGATATTGCTCATCTTCCTCCGGGACATTTTTTTTTTTTTTTTTTTTTTTGCTGCCTTCATTTACTTCTTCTGTTTCCAATGGTTTACTTTCTTCATCTTCTTCAATAATCATCATTCTCCTTACGATTTATTTCTTCTTCTTCTTCTTCTTCTTCTTCTTCTTCTTCTTCTTCTTCTTCTTCTTCTTCGTCGTCGTCGTCGTCGTTGTCGTCTTCTTCTTCTTCTAATGGATTACTTTATTCTACAGGATAATCATCATCATTCTCCAGGATTTCTTTCTTTCTTTCTTTCTTACTTTCTTTCTTTCTTTCTTTCTTTCTTTCTTTCTTTCTTTCTTCTACTTCTTTCACCTTCTTCCAATGCCTTTTGTTTTGTTTTTTTCTTCATTATACTCATCTTTCTTCGCCTAGACATCTATCTATCGTCTTCTTTTTCTTCTTCCCTACATTCCGATCCCCACTGTTTAGGAGTTTATTCCCACCGTAGTGCACCATCTCTTTATTTATTTAATCGATATTTTTCCCCATTTGCTGCCTTCTACAATTTCTTTTGCTCTCCTTAATCTTTTTTCTCCTTCAAAGATTTCTTGTTTGGTTTTCTTTCTCTATATGTTTGTTTTCATTCTTCTTATTTTTCAGGTCTCGTTACTATCTTCATTCTTCTTCGCTCCTTGTCCCTTTTCTTCATTTTTATATAACGTTTCCTCCAAAGATTTCATCTCTTTTTTTTAATTCATTCTTCCTCAGAATGTCTTCTTCTTCACTCCACTTTCTCTCATTCTCTCCTCTTTCTTTTCCTCGAGTTATTTTTTTCCTTTTCTTCTTTTGAAGAACTTACAAATTCTTTCATTCCTCTTCTTTTTTTCCCTCCCTTACTCTCTCCATTTCCTCTTCATTTCTTCCTTTGCTTCCCGTTTCTCTTTGCTTGTTCTTCTTCGATAATCTTTCCAACTCTCTTTTTATTCATTCATCCCTTCTCCCTCAGGCAGGACAGGCTATCAATGGCCGGACATGGTAATCTGATCTCGTAACATCTTTTGTCCGTCAACTGACAAATATTACATGATGTTGGGAAGAGAAAGGATTCTGTTGAATACACAGGACCAAAAGAGATGTACACATATCTATACCAGCTTGTTATAGGTACGATATACGCACAAATGTTTCGACTCCTAAGGAATAGGGAAGACTCTTCAGCGCCAAGTATAAAAATGAAATTTTGCCTAAAAAATCAGAATGTGAAATCTTCATGGTTAATCATGCCTTAAACACTGACAATGTTTCGACTGCTATGGAATAGGGAAGAATCTTCAGTGCCAAGTATACAAATGAAATTTTGCCTCAAAAATCAGAATATGAAATCTTCATGGTTAATCATGCCTTAAACACTGACAATAAGCACTATAGACCAATATTTAAATACAACTAAACGCACGCATACACATAGACACGCACACACATTATTCTTAACATATCCTTTCTGGTCGTGGGCAATCATGGCTCTCCATAACCTCTAAGTAATCCCCTTATTATCATTACCAGTTTCTGTTCTGTCATTCATTTACACAAGTTGATTAGACAGGTTATGTCTAGTGAGTATCACTTTCTCTAAGTCCGCTATCCTCATTCTGTATTCCAGGATCCTTTGCACGCACAAATACACATGCAAACATGCACGCGCACCCACACACGCACACACATACGGTATGCTTCTATGTCCGCGCTTCTTCCGAATGGGAATCATCATGGCTCTCCACAGCTTGCCATTTGTAGGTCCTAAGTAATATTTATCCGCTTGCTACCCCTCCCAACCTTTGTTTCCTTATGCATTGATAGAAGCTCGTACGTTATTCAATGTTTACCTCTACCCCACTTGACTTCAATATGCCCTGTGAGTGTCAAATTCTCCCTATAATATATATATATATATATATATATATATATATATATATTAGTGTTTATACATAATATCCAACATTGATAGTACGACTCAAGTTTCTTCCAAATGTGCAATCTTCAGTTCGAACCTGAAGATTGGACTTTTTCATATACTTTAGTCTATATATTTTGCTACACGTGTTTCGGGTTTTGTGACCTTCATCAGGCGAAGAATGGTTATTTCCATACATCATTTAAAGGAATGATTTTCCCCCTATGTAAAATCTTTGAACCATTGTCTTTTTGTGTGTAGTACTAGTCATCTGAATTCATCTTGGATTGGCCAAAAATGTCCTTTTGTTTAAGGGGCAATAAAACAATTAAATTGGGTCAAAGAAATGAAAAGAAAGACGGATCTCTTTCTTTTTATCTTTTTATGCCGCATTGTATTTTTCATGCCTTCCTCTATTTTTGTGTGTTGTGTGTGTGTGTGTGTGTGTGTGTGTGTGTGTGTGTGTGTTTGCCAGTTTGTGTATATATATTTTTCTCCGCACATATACATTGTATTATCACAACGAAATTTATATTGTTTATACATATATACACACTTTGTATGGTGTGTAGGGTCCGTCTGTATATGTGTGTGTGTATGGTATGTGTGCGCCCGCGCACACGTGTGGTCTGCCTAAGGTATTTATTTTTTTACAGTATGTGTGTATATATTCGTTCTCATATATATATATATATAGAGAACGATATAATAATGTTTGAAGTAATAAAAATACCGGATCGAAAATAATATCCATTAATTTTATACATATACAGTCTGAGGTTATTATGTAAATCACATAAACTTCAATAACTCGAATTTGCTTTGACTATTTTTTGTCAAATTTTAAACGATAAATTTAGATATCAAATGAAGGCTTCACTTAAATCTTTATGCAATTTTAACATGTTTTATTAAAGTTATTGGATTTTTCATAAAAACTAAATTCTCAATTACAGTGAGGGAATGTCCACACGAGTCATCAAAGGAGTTTCGAAGAAATCTTGAACGAAAAAAAGGGCAGTTGAAAATATAATAAAGTTCAGAATTAGAAGCAAAGGAAAAGGCTTTAAGAACTGGTCTCCACTAGAGGTAGCATACACCTGAAGAAGGCTGAACGTTATAGTGACCGAAACCTTGTGATAAAAATAAACAAAATGGGGATATTGTCTCTACCTAGTATTTTTCGGGAAAGTGAGCATTATTTTTGCTGTTGTTACTGTGCGAGAAAACAAAGGAGAATTTCCAAACAGGTTTCAAATTCTAGCCTCGCCTGTTGCATTCACTCCCAGGAAAGGCATGAACTCAACCAGTAAGTTAGATGGATTAATGCTTTTCAAGATAGTAATTTCGCATCATCAACAAGCTGACTCTGAGTTCTCCCCAGCTAATCTTTGCACTCTCAAAGAGCCTTTGGGTCCCTATTGGGTATCAAGTTCACCTTAGGGTGTAAGTGAAATACACACGCGCGCACACACACACACACACATATATATATATTAATCATATTCACCCCAAGCAAGGCATTAAAGTCACGAAGAATTTATTGAGTGTTAGAGTGTATGAGAAAAAAAGAAAAAAACACAATTATAAAACTCGAGAGCTATAAAAGGACAACAGTTAAGAAAAAAGAAGTTAATAATTGACATTACATTTAAATTTTTTAAGACTGAAGTTAACTGACACGAAAGAAACCGTGAGAGAGTTTCACAAGCGAGAATGCGATAGAAGAAAATTTTAGTATAGAACTTACGGTTACATCTAGCCATTTCAACTATAGAATCTATTACTGCGCTTAAATTTGTAAAATCTAGCTACCATAAAGAAGAGTTCGTCAAAACAATTACCATGAAAATATTTGTAGAAAAACACAGGGAAGCTACACTATTGCGATGGGAACGTGACTGAAGGCGAGATGCCAGGTCAGGATCAACAACATTGCAGATTCTTTTTTGGATTTTATCAAGAATCTTTAAATGTACAGAAGGAGCAACAGACTATATGTGGCAGTAATATTCAAAGCATGGACGAATGGTGGGATTATAGATATGCAAGATAGATTCTGGCAAGCAAAATTGTCTAGCACGACACAGTGAACCAATTTTCCTAGCAGCAGAGCTAGCAGTTGATTCAATATAAGCTTTCCACTTCATATCAGCGGGAAAAGTTTGCCGGAGAAGGCGCAAAGATTCACTCTCTTGGAGGTTAGCATCAGCCATATGCTGAGGGAAGGCAGAAAGGAGTCTCTCGGATGATTGATAGAGATCAGTTACCTTTTGTAAGCATTAAAATTAACGATTATACGATCCATAGCTAAAGACGCTGGAAAAGTGTTGGTTCCTTATAGCGCTGCAAAAGGTACCCGTCTATACAGGCCATACAAGAGTCAGATCAGGCCAAAATGTATTGACACTATATCTGGGTTAAAGCGACCCAGTCCTCACTTTTGACTGAATTTCAAATGACAGAGCAAACGACGGGAATCCATCTCACCAGTTTCTCAAAGAAACTATGACAACTGATATATATAAAAAAAAAAGAAAAGTACGGTGTGGAGATCTGTGAATGTCTATCTTCTGATGGAACATGGCTTTATGGCTTTTAAATGTGTGTCAGCTGATCCAGTCTTTTCTTCTCGTAGCATATACGTTATGAAAGCTATAGGATTAATCGGTTGAGATGTTATGCTAACATCAGCAAGTATGAGAAGATAAGTTATAATTGTTCGAACGATATTGATATTGAAGACATTAGTTTTACAATTAGTGGGCAATTTCAAATTGTTCAATTCAAATAATTAGACAATATAAATGGCGGGGGTTTATAGCTGAAAAAAGAATATAAAGTCATTAATATGACCCATTTAGAGCAATCGATGTGTTGATGTTCTCGTTTATATTTTACTCTATGTTTCCAACTCTTACTTTTAAATATCTCTTTCCCTTTCACTTTCATTCCTATCTCTTTTCTTTTCTTTTTTCTTCTTTCTTGATCTTTGTTTTCCTTCTTCTTCTTCTTTCTTTCTTACATTTTCCTTCGTTTTTCTTTCTTTCTTTTTCCTTTTTTCTTTCTTTTTCCTTTTTTCTTTCTTGCAATTATTTCTTTCTCTTTTCTTTCCCTGTTCATTTATATTGTTTTTTTCTTTGTATCCATGTCTTTTCTTTTCTTTTCTTTTCTTTCTTTCTTTCTTTCTTTCTTTCTCCTTCATTTTTCTTTCCCTCTTTCTTCCTTTTTTCTTTTTCTTTCTTTCTTGCAATTCTTTCTTTCTCTTTTTTTCCCTTTTCATTTATATTGTTTTTTCTTTGCATCCGTTTCTTTTCTTTCTTTCTTTCTTTCTTTTGTTCCTTTCCATTTATACTTTTTGTTTACCTCGTCTTTAAACTTGCATTAAGTCTTTCTTTCCTTTATTTTCTTTCAATCCTTTTCCCCTTGACTTTCTTCCTTCCTTCCTTCCTTCCTTCCTTCCTTCCTTCCTTTCTTTCTTTCTTTCTTTCTTTCCGCTTGAGGTCTGCTGTAATCCCTTTCACCCATATTTTCATCCATTCAGTTAAACAACCTTTCACTTCTGTCAGCTTTCTTCCCTTCCGGTTTCACCTTTCCTCTTGCTATTTAGTCTCCATCTTGCCTGCTCCCAGGCTTCTCAAGCTCTGACCTTCTTCTTCAATTCCCCTAATGCCACTGACCAACTGACCGACAAACCAAACGTCTTACTGACCAACTGACCGGCAAGTATCCTTTCAGCTAACCCCACTGCCTAACGCAATTCTCAAATCACCTTCTCTTCTCTCCTCTCCTCTCCGCCATCTAGGTTTTTCCTTAAGTCTCTTTTCATGGTCTTTGCTTATCTCTCAATCACTACAAAATACTGCTCTCTTCTTTCTGAGGTAGACAGCTTAAGCGGTTATTGGACCACATTTACAGTTCGGTTGATAGGCCGGACTGAACGACGGCTCAAACACGTATTACGACAGATGTTTAGAACCTTTAGATGTTGTTGAACTGTCAAGGTCAGAGCGTAAGAGGTGATGAGAGCGGGTGATGGGAAACAGAAAGAAACAGAAGAGAGGAAAGACAAAAAGTATTGATTCATGAAAAGAAAGAAAGAAAGAAAGAAAGAAAGAAAGAAAGAAAGAAAGAAAGAAAATTAAAAAGAAGAGAAAGGTGAGAGAAATAGGCAAAATATTAGGAGAAAGAAAGAAAGAAAGAAAGAAAGAAAGAAAGAAAAGTAGAGTAAAACAGACGATTAAATGGGAATGAAAGACAGGAATTAAAATATATACATAGGCGAAAGAAAATAAGAAAAGAGATGGGAAAAAAAGAACGAAAGAGCGAAAGAAAGAAACAATAAGAAAGATTAAACAGTGGTAGAAATATTAGAAAGTAAAAAAGAAAGAAAGAAAAAAGAAAGAAAGAAAATGAGAATATAACAAAATCGAAAGGAAAATGAAAAAGAAAGACAAATTTTGAAAGAGAAAGGACAGCGAAAAGAAAAAGAAAGAAAAAGTGATGATTATAATGAAATATAAGTAAAATAAATAAAATGTTAGAAAGAAAGAAAGAAAGAAAGAAAGAATATAAGAAATGTAACGAATAAAAGAAAATGAGAGAAAAGATGAAAGAATAGAACAAGGCAATAAACGCAGGAAAGAAAAAAAAAAATGAAGGAAGGGTGAAAGGGAAAAACAAAGAAAATACAGGCCCTGGAATGGAAAGCAGAAAGAAAACTACTTGTGAAGAGTGAATTTCGGGGGAGTTTGGTGTGGGAAGGGTGAGAAAATCTTGATGAGAGTAAATGTAATGCGCATGCTTGGCTGCCGTTGGTCACTTACTGAAACACTGACCACTCTCGTAAGTGGCGAGATTTGGAGATTTGGGGCTTGAGGTAGAGGAAGGAATTGCGGGCCAAGATGAAACGACTTTCCGTGGTAATAGTCGTTCTAATGGCATCAACCCGGCTGGAAAGCACTTGGGAAGAAAGCAGATGGAAAGGGTAGCTGGGAGTGAAGGACACAAGAGCACATTCTGACGGCCCTAGAAGAAAAGAGGAAGAAACTAAATAACAATGGAGGTCGACTGAAGTTGGTGGCAAGAACCAGAATAAAGAAGGAAAGAAGAAAGTACAGAATTTAAGGACCATGATTAGGTTAAAGATGGCAGTAACCATGAAATGAGATACATATATTCATCGTCGTTTACAAAGCTTAAATTTGACAAGACTACTATGCATCCAAATATGATCCAATTCATTCTTCAACAGAAACCAACTTCCAAAAAGACTTGTTAACCATAAGTGAGACACCAATACGTATGATTTGGTTTCTTTTGTTTTACGGCATATCAGCCTCAATGGGTTATTTAATGCCGACATGATTTTTATTGCTGGTAATATTTTTATTTTTTTCAAAAATGTATTGCTGGTAATATTTTTTTTCAAAAATGTATTGCTGGTAATATTTTTTTTCAAAAATGTATTGCTGGTAATATTTTTTCAAAAATGTATTGCTGGTAATATTTTTTTCAAAAAATGTATTACTGATAATATTTTTTCCAAAAATGTATTGCTAGTAATATTTTTTTTTCAAAAATGTATTGCTAGTAATATTTTTTTTCAAAAATGTATTGCTGGTAATATATATTTCAAAAAATATATTCCTGCCAATACTTTTTTCCAAAAATGTATTGCTGCTAATATATTTTTCCAAATATTTTTTTTCAAAAGATGTATTGCTAGTAATACTTTTTTCCAAGAATGTATAGCTGGTAATATTTTTTTTTTCAAAAAATATATTACTGGTAATATTTTTTTCCAAAAATATATTGCTGCTAATATTTAAAAAAAAATGTATTGCTGCTATTTTTTTCCAAATATGTATTGCTGCTAATATTTTTTCAAAAATGGTATTGCAGGTAATATTTTGTTTCAAAAATGTATTGCTGCTAATATCTTTCTTTCCAAATATTTTTTTTTCGAAAATGTATTGCTAGTATTTAAATCTATTTTTATACTTTCATAAAGTTTTGACTCCTTTGTGTGGGGATAACTATTTGCCTATAGCTAGGACCCTGACAGGTGCTACCAACCCGGGCCAGCAATTAAGAGGTGATTACATGCTTCTCGAAACCTCCTGATCAAAGGCCTTGCTGTCGGATGTAGTTTATCGTCATTTATTTATAAACTACATTCAGGACGTGAATGTAGTCATATCCAGGGCGGCCATTGCGTATGTAATTATAGGCAAAGCTGCTTTTTCTTTTTCTTCTTCTTCTTCTTCTTGAAGATGTGGGCGATCATATCTTTTATAGCTCTTAGCAATATTTGTCTTTTTGCTATCCCTCCCACTTTCTGTAATCCATCTCTTTCCCCTGGCTATGGGTGAAATAGTATGATTTGTATCTGGAAAAATTATTGCTATTCTCAAACAACTGTTAATGCAATAGCCACTCGCAATCTTTTAACTTTAAATAAGGGTTGAGGTATGTTACTCATTGTTTCCTTCTTGCCTTTACTATATCCTGTGAGTGTCAAATTCGTCCAGCCTTCTTTCGTCATTGTGCGCTCTAGAAATGTCAACTGTCTCTTTCTGATTCTATATAAAAGTGTGCTTTTTGCTTCCATTTTTCTTAAGTCTCCCTAGTTACTCACATATCCCATGCAACCTGCTGTAGAACTACATTTTCTTGTCTCTTGTCCAGGATCCACAGCCATAAAAGAAAACTGGGTTACATAGTATTTAAGCACTCTTTTCTTTGTTTCGAATGAAATCTTCCTGTTTCTTAATACTTTGCTTAACTTTTGGCAGACAAATTCTGCCATTGCAATGCAGCTTCGGATTTCGGTGTCGCCCTTTCTGACCTCTATTAAAACAGTTCTTGCTTGATTTTAGCATCTCCAAATCGTAAGGCCGCATCCTGGACTGTTCCGCTTACTGGCAACTATACATTCTGTAAATGCCAAAATTATTATTATATGTACAGGCAATACGCCCTGTTGAGGATCAAAGTGTCGTAAACTGTTATTCGGAGCTAAGATTAAGGTATCTGTTCTTTCTCACGTAGAAGTTATGAGGGAAGATAGGCTTCGTGGATTCCAACCCTGTGAAAAACCACACTCATTGCACGAAATGGGGGAGGATGAATGAATATTAACGCCAAGGTGATAGGAAAGGGGCCAACATTAAATTATCTCTTCTTATGCGGTCTGTCTGACTGTTGGTTTGATTTTATTATGCTACCATTTCAGAAATTAAACAGAGAGAGAGAGAGAGAGACCCTATGCGATAAACACAGTAAAACCACAAAAATTGAAGTAAATATGCTAGCAAACTATATAACCAAAGAAAACTGGCAAAAATAATTAAAAAATAATCGAAATATTTAGGCAGAATATCGAAAAATATTAAATTTATGAAGTTTTTCCTAATCCTTCCAGATTTAAACACACGCCCCCCCACACACACATGTATATGAAGGACGAAACTCCTCACATTAAGCTTTTTTCATTTTGTCATACAAATTTCCCCATATATATATATATATATATATATATATATATATATATATATATATATATATATATAGTTATGAAAAACTTGTTAATCCGTATGGGTAATCCCAAGGAGGATGAAATCCTGAGAGCCCAACGTAAGCCTTTTTTTTTGGAAGTGCTATCTGATGATCCGGAGTCCTTTAAAAGGGCTCTGGTGAAATAAATTATTATAATGGAATTTTAAATTGGTCTGTTTTTCTTTTAATATATATATATATATATATATATATATATATATATATATATATATATATATATATATATATATATATATATATATGTATGAATATAATGAAATGAATAAATATAAATAAATGTACGTGTAAGTGTTCACATACAAATATATATCTCCTTCGAGGAAAGAGAAAAAGTGCTCAACGCTAAATAACACAGATATTAAGTATATATAAAAACACACAAAACACATATATATATATATATATATATATATATATATATATATATATATATAAATGCATGATACCTTACGCGAACAGTTCGACTCCGAGTTTCATGCCTAATGCAAGATTGCATAGGCATGAAACTCTGAGTCGTAATGTCGGCGTGAATGTTAGGCATTTTTACTAATATAATATATATATATAATGTGTGCATATATATATATATATATATATATATATATATATATATATATATATATATAATTGTGTATTTAAGCCGCAATCCCTCTGTTATTCAAGTTTCCTCGAGAGTACTGCGATTATGCATTTTATTCAATTTTTCTTGCATTCATAAATCTATTTTCTTTTCTGTACCTCAAATGTGTAAAATCAGTCTAAATGTATATCCGAGCACTTTCGGCTATTTACCATGTAAAAAACTTCTTTTTAATTTTAAACAGAATATGGAGATTTTATATATGTGTATCTATAGTGATGGGTATACATACATACATATATATATATATATATATATATATATATATATATATATATATATATATATGAATTAAATATATATATGTGAATTAAATATATATATACTAATTAATATATATATATATATATATATATATATATATATATATATATATATATAATTAAATAGAGAGATAGGAAAAAAACTGTCCCCACCCACCTTCTTTTTTTCCTCTCTCTCATCTTCTGGATTTTAAGTTTAGATCCTATCGTTTTTTATTTTGCTTAGTACCAGCACAAATGTATACACACGTTTCCGGTGTCTGTTTTTTTTTAATTTTAATTTAGGTCAGCGAATCGGTAACGAATTATACATCGAAAAATAATTAATATTTATCTGTATCTCATTCATTTAAACCGTTATTTAACTCCTCTCTTTAAAACTTCTCTCTGTTAAAATTTAA